TCCCCCCCCCCAAAAAAACCACCCCATGCAAGATACTGTTCAGCAGCCTCAGCTTTTGTACCTGCAGTCAGTCAGCGCCTGGACCTCCCATGCTAGGTGGGAAAGGCCTGCAAGGCAGGGAACAAGTGTACCAGAACTCACAACCAAGCTTGGTGAGAGGGGCGTGTAATTTGTCAGGCCATCTTTGTAGCTTCCGTTTGGTTAGGAACCTCTTGCCATGGTCATCTCCCTTGGAATCTTGACTTCTGGACCTTGTAGTTGCTGCTGAGCCAGTCCTTCTATAAGCCAGAATAAATATCTCTTCATTACTTTCAAGTAAAAGTCGCTGTGATGTTTTGGAACAGGACCTGACAGAGAGAAAGAGGCTTAAATGCTAAATGGTACATCCAGAAAACAAGTTATGAAAGTCTGTGTGTGTGCGCGCACGCACGCTCTTGTACATGTGCAAAGAGGAGAAATGGGTAGAGCCAAAGAAAACAAAGTGATGCAGGGGTGGGGAGGAAACTTTCTGCAAGTGTTGAGTTCAAACCTATGTTAATGGAGGGGTGGTGGCTGTGCGGAGGAAGCAGCACCAAAAGAGAGAGCAGAGAAAAAGACATGGGAAGAAAGAAAGAAAGAAAGAAAGAAAGAAAGAAAGAAAGAAAGCATGTGCTATGCAATCCTGAAACCCTATAAACCCACTTCTGTCTCTGACAATGCTTACTAGCAGTGGCCGCTAGCCCCTTACATATTACCCTTAAGGGAATGTGGGCCTATTATTATTATTATTATTATTATTATTATTATTATTATTCCCACTTCCACTGTTTTGAACTCAATGGGATTTGTTTCTGAGCAGATATGTATTGTAAACCTCACTGTAGATTTTCCAGGTACTTTATAACAATAAAACAGTCCTAGTTAACCATTGGAGGGGCTCAGGTTGTTTTGTTGCAACACAATAGATTCAGAGGTGTGAAAATCACTATTTTTCCACTGGCTTTTTATGGGGTGGGGTAGACTGCATTAAAAAGAGCTGCCAATATTGATACTGATGGCATTCATTAAATATTGTTTCCATTCTCCCAAGAGACTTAGTGGGTCAATTTGTTTCCTTACCTTGCCTTCACGTTGTCAATCTTGCCTTTGCGTGCTCCTCAGCAGGAAAACTGTATATACAGTATATGTGTTTGTTTTCTTACCAGAGATCTGATTATCTTTTAATTTCCCCGCATCACTCCCTTTTGGGGACCAATTTAGTTTTAAATTACTTCCCATTTCCATCGTTTTATAAATGGCTCATTTCTATGAGAACACATGATTTGGATCATCACTGTGCTGCATGCTTTGCAAAGCAACTCTTTTTTTTTGGTGGTTTACTTCTTCAGTCCTTATTTTATTTGCAATGTCTCCTCTCACCCAGCTCACATCTTTATATTCTGTGTGGCTTTGCTTTATAACTGTGCTGGCGTATGCAACCCAAAGTTGTTGTTGGTCTTTTCTTTTTCTTTTTTTAAGGTGTGGGGTTTGGTGACCCATAAAGATTTTTGTGATCTTTGGGCATTTGGAGACCTTTTTTTTCATATTTGGTGGACTGGTGGGTGTGAGGTATCATAAGACTATGGTCAGTCTTTCTTTTGTCTGGCTTCCCCCCTGGGGAGGATGACTTTTTAATTCATTGTTTTTTGCTGTCAATCCTAAACCTGAGTGGTGGTAGGAAGTTCCAGGTGTGGTCCAATGGCCTAATCTCATACCCTGCTGGGTTCATGCTGAAGGACAGAAGTTACGGTGCAGCAACACCAGGCATTCCTCTGTTCTTCTTTTAAAAACAAGAATTACTGATTTCTCTCTCATTTGAAACAATGGAAGAGAAATAAACTATGCCAGCGCCAGGACTGGCACATTAACCTCCCCAGTTCTGGGGAACTGGGAAGGCTATGTATCCTTTGGATTAGTGCCTTTTCTGTTCCACCACAACACATAGCCCGTTTGTTCCCAGAATTCTCCAAAGGTTTCTGCAGCGGCTGGAAAGGACCATTTACCCTCAGATAAGACCACCATTGCCCTCCCTAGGTGGCGAACATAAGTCTGTAAGAAGAAGAAGAAGAAGAAGAAGAAGAAGAAGAAGAAGAAGAAGAATGGGGATGGTGACCTCAATAATTACTACTAATAAAATAAAAACTAGAATAATCTTACTGAGTAACAAAAGAAAGTCAGTGAAATAAGAAAATGTAAATTTCTGTTTAAAACTGCTTATAGCAACTGGCATGTTAATAACTAAATACAGGAAGACAGGCAAGGTTCCGCCTATAGAGGAATGGTAACAGAAACTTTGGTTGTTTTGATAATAAGATTTCAGCAATCATTTATTTCTGTTGCAGTCATTTAAGTGCAGTTCAACCATTTGTTTAAGAGCAGAATCTACTGAAAAGCCAGACCCTCTTACAGTTGTGCAAGTTGTACAATTGTACAAATGATCGATGCTTGGCTTGATTTTAATTGCTCTATATCATTCTTTTGATATATTTGGAAAACGCTTGTAAGTAGGAAGTTACAAGGCTAGCAATGAAATACTATAGATGCCTATTCAGAAGTATGTCCCACTGAATTTATAAGAACATGAAAATAACCCTGCTGGATCAGACCAAAGGCGCATTGTAATGGTTCTAGGGGTTGCTCGTGCGTAAGCCGGTGCAAACACCTGGCTGGATTGCCTGAGTGAACCTTTTCTGTCCGCACAGCCACTCACCCGTGGCTGTCTCAGTCGCTGGCAGAATCCGTCAGTGGGCGTTTCTTAAACTTCTTCCAGCAAAGAAGCTCTTTGACGCCTAGTCTCCGCCTACTCTCTCTGCGCAGAAGCCTTCTGCGCAAGGAGGGCGTAGGCAGCGGAGGACCTCTACTCTCCCCGCTGGTCCCCGGCAAGGAGTCATGGGACCGCCTCGCCGCTTCCCCATCTGCCCCCCCTCTCCACTGGTGCTACGCTGATTCTCTTCCCCAGAAGATGGGCTGCCTCTCCCAATCCCGGGACGCTCTCTGGAATCCCTCTGGATTTTGCTCTCTCCCTCCGGCACTGATGGCAGTTTCCTGACACGCATCTTGTCAAGTATCTTGTTCTCTCAGTGGCCAAGTAGATGCCTCTGGAATTTGACAAGGAGAACCTGAGTAAAACAGAACTGCTCCCACTTGATTCCAAGCAACTAGTATTCCACAGCATACTGGCTCTGATACTGGAGGGTGTACATAGCCATTGTGGCTAGTAGCCTCATCCTCCATGAATTTGCCTAATCCCCTTTTAAATCCATCCAGCTTGGTGACCATCCGCTACATATTACAGAAGGAATTTCCTTGGATTATGTGCTGCGTGAATAAATTTTTGTCTTGAGTCTTCCAAAATTCAGTTTCATTGGCTGGTCCTGACCACACATAATTTTATACACATCTATCATGCCCCCTTAATTCACAGCTTTTCCTAAACTAAAAAAGAAGAAGAAAGCCCCTAGTAGATGATTTTCTCCAGCCCCTTGATTATTCTGGTTACCCATTTTTAAATTCCTTTTAGTCCAACAACTCCTCCTTAAGGTGAGGTGACCAGAAATATACATGGTATTTCAGGTGCGCTTGCACCATAGATTTATATAATGACATGAAATATTCACAGCTTTATGGTGAACCCTATTCCTAATTATCCTTAACATGGTATTTGCCTTTTTTCCCACAGCTGCCACACACTGGGTCAACATCATCATCTAGACACTAGCTATGACTCCAAGGTTTTATTATTTGACAGTCATTGCCAGCTCAGATCTCAGACTTTGCTAAAATGTGTGCTTAAACATTGATATTGCCTCTTACTTGCCTAAATAGAAGACAAATATATGGGTCGGTATGTAGGGAAGCAGGTGGCGCTGTGGGTTAAACCACTGAGCCTAGGACTTGCCGATCAGAAGGTCGACGGTTCAAATCCCCGTGAGGGAGTGAGCTCCCGTTGCTTGGTCCCTGCTCCTGCCAACCTAGCAGTTCAAAAGCACATCAAAGTGCAAGTAGATAAATAGGTACCGCTCCGGCGGGAAGCTAAACGATGTTTCCGTGCACTGCTCTGGTTCGCTAGAAGCAGCTTAGTCATGCTGGTCACATGATCTGGAAGCTGTCTGTGAACAAACGTCGGCTCCCTCGGCCAATAAAGCGAGATGAGCGCCACAACCCCAGAGTCGGTCACGACTGGACCTAATGGTCAGGGGTCCCTTTACCTTTATGTAGAAACCTCTGACTCTTGTGTGACTGAACTGTAGCTTACTATACATAGATTAGAGCCAAATCTCTGACCCTCCCCATTTCCCCCTTTTTAATACCCACTAATAGCATTTTGCCCCTAGTGGGCTGTCCACGAGATATTTTGGTCCCTGAACTGAAAATGATCCCCACCGGGGGTGCATTTTATATTAGTTCTTGTGAGTTGCTGCTTTGTGGTTGTGTGCCTTTAATGAATAAAAGCAGTGCTTTATTCTAAAAAAAAATGTTTAGGGGTACTCTCATTTTCCTACTCGTATTGAAATACTGCCCCTCAATGAGGCCAAACTTAGATTCACAAAATATTTAGGGGTATGCATACCCCTGCGTACCCCCCCAGAAAAAAACCTGAATAAAAGTGTACAAATGAATTAATAAGTAGTTGAGTTCAAAACTGAGGCTAATCCTCATGGAAGAGGTGGGGTTTGGAGGAGTGGTCTGAAAGGAGCTTGCATTGCAGGAAGATTGTGTTGAATATATTGCAAACTTCAGCACTGTAGAGCTACTGAATGAGTCTATTACAACGACATAAAATATTTAAGTCTAATGTTGTAATTTCGGTTGCTATTACTTGGTTCCATATGCTGGAACATACATTGTTATTTTATTTTCCAGTTTTAGTGTTTCCCTTTTCAAATTCTTTCTCTTTCTTAATAGACTGGAAATGAAACTGATTAGTTGCCTCAGTGAATCTATTATTTCCTTTGGCATGCTTCTTTTAAATGTTAGCTCATCATATTGTGTGTGTGTGTGTGTGTGTGTGTGTGTGTTTTCTCTCTCTCTCTCTCTCACACACACACACACACACACACACTCTTTACATAATGTGCTTCCAGCAGTAAAGGCCAAATAATGTAAAAATAAAAAGGTGCAGAGAAATATAGCACGCCTGGGCAGCAGAATAGGGGACTATACTACAAAGTTCTTTTGCAGGTTTTATTTAGGAAAAAAACAAACAGGAAAGAAACCTAGGAAAGAAAGGAAAAACAGAGCAATTGAAATTTTCCAGTCACTTAAATTCTGTAATGGATCCTTATCTAGTATATATTACATATGCCATTGCCTGCTAATTCACTCATCATTTCTACAAGGGGATATATATATAAATAAAATGATGTTGTTATTTAGTTATATTATTTAATTAGAGGCAGCATTACTCCAACAGGCAGGAGCAGTTTATTACTAGCATGACATAACCAAATACAAAATAATAAATTTCTGGAGGGGAAAATATATATGCACCAGGAAAATCTAATGGGATGAAGAAGGGAGGGGCTGACTTATGGAGGATTCTTCAAAAGTGCCTATCTCGCCCTTTTGAGCTGTGAAAACTCTGGAGGCAGATGAATTATAAAATCACAGCAGAAAGTTCCCAGGGAGACCACAGCAGGGGGTATATTCTTCTCTGGGGAGAACTTTGATTCTGAATGTTAATATATTTAAACTAGTTGTGAACTAAATTGTTTCAGATAATGCCACTGGTAATGACACATTTTCCATATTAACATGTGTGCCTTTTGTTTATAAATTTAACAACAGGCAGACATACCAGGCCCTAGGTGCTCTTCCAATACAGTTTAAGGCTGTAGCAAAGCATCCAGTGTTAACAGCATGCTTATCTGCGTAAGAAATGAACAGATGCTAATAAATAAAATTTACTCCAGCCACGTTAACAGATTCTTGATTTGCCACTTAAGGGAAGCTCTGCATTTTGAACCGCATATGATTACTCCTCAGGTGTTACAATAGGTTATAGCCAACTATGTTCTACTCAGAGTAGACCCATTGAAATTAATGGACCATAGTTGGGTCTCATCTCTACCATGCATTTAAAGCAGTTTTAATAGCACTTAAATAATAATAATAACCATGCTTTCCTCCAAAGAATCCTGGGAACTCCAGTTTGTTAAGACGATTTTTGAGATCCCTATTCTGCTCACAGAGCTACAATTCCCACAGTGATTTAACAACCAATCCCTCTTTCCAGAGAACTCTGAGAACTGTAGCTCTAGGTGGGGGGGGGGGCGAAGGTTCTCATAACAACCTTCAGCACCCTTAACAAGTTACATTTCCCAGGATTCTTGTGAGGAAGCCATGACTTTTTAAAGTGATTTGACCATAAATGTATGGTACAGATGGGCATGTAGTGATGCCCTTTAATTTCAGTGGGTCTGCTATGAGTTGAACAAACACTGGGTTCAACCCTGTATCTCTGGCCAATTTTTGCATCTGTAGCAAGCCTCTTAAAATATGTTGGGTGATATCCTGCTAAGTCATACTTAGTGTAGACCAATTGAAATAAATATTCTTAAGTTGACTGCATATCCTGCCTTCAGTGGGTCTGTGCTGATGATGATTAACATTGGATGTCACCCAATGTTTTGTTATGGATGTCATCTGCTTTCTATGCAGGGGGATCTAGCTCAGTATTGTCTATATTGATTAGTAGCAGCTCTTTAGAGTTTCAAACAGGAGATAAAAACGAATTGAACTTGGGATCTTCTGCCTGCAGAGCAAATGCTCTATCACTGAACTACAGCTTGTCCCCTGTTGGAAACCCTGGAGAGCCATTGCCGCTCATTGTGGATAATTCTAAGCTAGATGGCCCAATGGTCTGGTTTGATGTAAAGCAGCTACCTATGCTCTTATAATCCTGAAGAGCTAACAACCTCCTAATGTTTATGGATGCTGCTTACAGTATCACATTCTACCTGAAGTGTAGTTTTGCAGGGTTGTGGTGTTTCTATGTGTGGTTCATTTTAGCAATTACTGTGATTAAGAAAGGAGTTGGCTAGAGTTGGCATGCAGGTACTCTGGGAAATTTCTCTCTGATCTGTCCAGTTCTCTGCTATGTGCTGTGTTGCTATTATGCATTCAAGGCCAAAGCACAGTTATCCACAGCACCATAAAAGCGCTATCCCCATCCCCATCATGCCCTCTCTTCCCACACCCTGCACCCTTCATTCCCTGAGCCAGTCTATCTACTTTTCACTTCTCATCAGTGCTATTTTTCTAGGAAAAAATGGTGCTGGAACTCACAATGAACACCTCCCTTGTTCTCTTATAATGGCAATGGCACCCATCTGAGAGGTGCAGGAACTGAGTTCTGGCAAGTTCTGGCTGAAAAAAAGCCCTGCTTCTCATCACAATGTGCACCTAATGGACCCTAGAAAGGTTCAGGCATAACTAGGAATGGGTGACTGTCAATTTCAGTTTTTCACATACCACTCCCAGTCTTAAATTCAGCTTTCCACATTTCCACATTAGTTGGTTGTTGCTTTTAAAAAGAGCCTCATGAAAATTCATCACTGGTTTTCTCCTAATATATACTTTGTATGCCATCACATTTTTTGCAAAGCACTTTCCACAATACAACACATTTCTGTACGTTATTTTCACTAATATATGCATATTATGCACACTTTGAATTTTTATATGGAACTAAAACTGAACTAAATTTCTTCCACTTTCTTATCAGATTGTCATCTGACATAAGGACCTCTTATTGCTCACGCAAGTAATGTTAAAGTGACCACCAATGGTTCCAATGGTTCAGGCAGCATGAGCAAAATTACCTTTAAACTTAAAATGAAGACTTTTTAAAAACCATTTGCTCAGAGCCATCTTTTTGATGATAGTATAAATAACATGTTCCCTTTAGATGTCCTCTCCACTCCATAACTTCCATCAAGCTTGTCCATTGGCTGTGCTGTCTGGGGATGATGGAGTTGAAGTCTAAAACATCTGGAAAGCTAAGGAAGACTGTATAAAGATGCTTGGTTTCTTCTTTGCCACCTCTGACTTGGTTGTTTTCATTTGTCTGTAATTTTAATTTGCAGGAAAAAATACAGGATGATTGGGGGGGGGGGGGGAGGAAAGGAACCAAAACTTTTGCAGAAAAGAAAAGAAACCTAGCAAAAATGAGACATGAAGGCAACACAGGGGGAAAAATGAATTTAAAATGGCACAGTACATGCTGATTTGTACTTGTGTACTGCCATGTGGACAGCAGGCCTTGATGTATGCTAATGTAATCAACAGCAAGGAAATGCTCACTTCTGCATCAACGGGCCATGTGGCAGAATTCATAAATCTGAAACAGTGCAAAATGATGCTTGCTTAGGTGCCTATTTACTGGACTTGATGATGCTTAATATTCAAGGAAAGTCCAGATTTCGCTCTGAAAACACACTGTGTGGAACCTCATGTTTCAAGGGAAGTTACTGACTTTTACATTCAGTCTTTAGAAAGTTTCACTTTCTTCAAAGGGGGCACCAAGACCTGTGAATACTCCTGTGGAACTAGAAAGGCTATAGCTCAGTAGTAGAGCATCTGTGTCGCATGCAGAAGGCACCATGTCATATTTTAGGCATCTGTAGTTAGGGCTTGGAAAGACCCCATCTGAAATCCCGGAGAGCCTCCAGCCAGAAATGAAATTACCAAACTTGTTGCAGCCGTGGTCTGGTTCCATATAAAGCAGATTCCTATGTTGGAGTCCTCATTTTACCTTCAGGCATTCTACTCATGAGTAAAAGTGGCACAAAAGTGAGAAAGAGTGCACTAAGCTCTGCTCCCTTCTATCCCTTTCTGTGGGTTAGAGATGTAACTTCTAAAGTGGGAAGACTCCCTTGCTCACGAAAGCTCCCTGCAAATACAAAATTGTGACCTGATGTTGAATATCATGGAGGGAAGGTGTTGATGATGTATTGTCTGCCTGAATGAAGCTAAGGGAATTATGAGTTTCTGAGAAATTTAAGGGCATATGGAGAACTCCAATCAGGTTGCCATTCTTTGTTGCCAGAGGTCCAAACTACACTTGATGTGAATCACATCACTAACAACTGAGTGAAGAATTTTCCTGTAGAAAGAAACCAGCACAGGAACCTGAGCTGGATTAGGGACCTGGTGTGGTGTTTGAGGGGCTTTAGCCCTTTGCTGGCCACTGTGATCTAAATTGAATTTGCCCTTGTCCACCCCTGCAATTTGCTTGGAACAGAAAGCTCCCATTAAATCGAGTGGGACCTTTTCTTCATTCCAACTGCCTACTCCAGACCAGGACTTCAGCTGGGGGAGAAAAGGAGAAAATGCCCTTGGGTGACTGAATTTATTTTCAGGACCCCCATAATCAGATTAATTTGCACTCATTGATTCTGAATTCACAAGTACTGGTGCCATTTTGAAGCTTTGTTGCATATAGAGTTGAGCATAGGAAGCTGCCTTACTAAGGCAAACTGTTGATCCATCTAGATGACCTCAGAGTTTCAGACTGGGGACATTCCCAGCCCTACCTGGAGATGCTGGGAATTGAACCTGAGACCTTCTGCATGCAAAGCAGATGCTCTACCACTGAGCCACAGCCCTTCCTTCTACTGTAAAGACTGGTCTCTGACTGTAATCCATTTATATTTTAACATATTTTATATCTGTCTTTTTTATATTCGTTGTTATTGTTAGAGAAACCCATTCTTTTACTTTTCTAAGGTTGCAGTCACACAGCTGTTTATTCAATTCCCCCAATATTTCCATAACCATTCATTTTCTGCATTGTACTTGAATTTTCACATCATGGGGAAAAGTCGCTTCCGGGAAACAATGGAAGATTCACCACAGAGAAAGAAAATACTGTACTTACTCGATGCAGTTTGTTCCCAGAAGAGCAATGGCCACCAACATGTGTGGTTTAGAAAGAGGATTAAATAAATTCATGGAAGATAAGGCTATCAATGGCTCCATTCTACATTCATGGTTGGAGACAGTATGCCTTTAGGTGCTTCCCAAAAGAGGCATCTGATTGGTCTCTGTGATGACAGGATGCTGGACTA